CCTCTGTAGACCAGTGTGCCTCGGGCTGTGATGATGGCGGCGGTGGTGCGTCCCGCGTTGTTTGTGGTGGCCGTCGCGCTGTGCTGCGTGTGTGGCTGCGCAGCGACCACTGCTAAGGGCATCGGTGACGGTGACGGTGACGGTGAGCGGAGGAAGAAAGTATTGGGTGAGCTGGAGAAGGCGAATGGGGAAGCGCTTAAGGCCAAGGATGCGTTAAATGACGCCAGGGGTAAGGTTGAAGCCGCAAAGAGTGCAACGGAAGAGTTTAAGACCGCGGCGGAAACGTTGTCACAAAAGGCAGACGAGCTAAAGGGCAAAGTGGAGGAATTGAAGGACAATCAGGGAGAGAAAAAAACGGATGTGATCCGTCTAGCGAGTGATACAATGAACGCAGCTAAGACGTCTCACGAATCAGTTACTTCAATCGTGGACAAAGTTACGAAAGCAGTGGATGCAACGACTAATGCAGGGAAGTTGTTCACGGCAGCGCAGGGGATGGCTGTCAGCGCGGCGAAGGAAGCGAATGCAGTTATCAGCACACAAGCAGAGCACACAAAAGAGGCATTAACAAAGCTATCAGATCTGTTGTCGGCACTGAAACAAGCCCAGATTACTGCTGAAGAGGGAAGCACGGCTGCGACGACTGGCGATGCTTTTATTGCAATGCAAAGCGCTGAGAATGCGTACAAATCTCTCAAAGAAAAGATATCCAGTGCACAGTTACCTGCCTCCACTGAGCTAAAGACGGCTGCTACAAAGGCTGCTGAACATACAACAGCTGCGGCGGGACACGCTAAGAAGGCTTCAAGTGCTGCCATTGAGGCATCTAAACACGCTGGGAAAGCCTTCGAGAGCGCTGAGTTATTGCTGAGGGAGATCGATGCTGCGTTGAAGGCTCTTAAAAACGAACAAAAGGAATCTGAGGCTTCACCTGAAGATCCTCAGTCTCCATCACAGGACGAGGCACAGGGCCAGAGTATCCCACAGGAACCACTGAGCAGTACTTCAACTGGTGAGAAGCCTTCTGATCAACAAGAAGCGGGCACCGCGGCGACCGACAAAGAGCAGTCGCCATCAGTACCATCGGAGGAGAAGACAGCCGCAGAATCCC